CGCGGGTGGGTCGCGGGTGGGTCGCGGGGTGGGCCGCGGGCGGGTCGCGGGGTAGGTCGCGGAGTGGGTCGCGGGGTGGGTCGCGGGGTGGGTCGCGGGGTGGGTCGCGGGGTGGGTCGCGGGTGGGTCGCGGGTGGGTCGCGTGTGGGTCGCGGGGTGGGTCGCGGGTTGGGTCGCGGGTGGGTCGCGGGGCGGGTTGCGGGTGGGACGACGACAACAAACAGCAACAACAACAACAACAACAACAACAACAACAATCATTTTACCCGAACGCTCAGTGTTCTCCCCAGTGCCAGGGTTTTCTTGCGACACCAGCCAATACCCCCACTTCGTGGGGGGGCCGTTCAAGCTCTACCAAATATCCAAACGACTCTTCGAGACCACCCACACCCAGCTTCCCGCCCTATGACGTTGGGACACTTCACTTCGTGGCGTGCGGACGACCCTGGCTACTACACTGGCGTGGGGTACACACCCACAGAGGTTGATCACATCTGTTACATATGCCCAGGTGGCGGATGGCAGAGCCGTGCTGCTCCTCCAGCTCCTTGGCGCTAGAAATACTGACCGTGCCAGTCACAACCCGATACTTGGCCCACCAAGTCTTGCACGCCTGGTGACTAGCATTGATACCCTTTGCCCGGAGCGCCTGATGCAAATAATACGCACTCTCGCAGTCGGCCAAGGGAGGCCGCGACAGCTCAGGGCCATACTGCTCGTGAAGGTCTTTCGCCGTCAAAGCCATGATCCAAGAACACAGGCGATACCTTGATCCGAGATGGCTACGGATATGTGCGTCAGCAGTCGGGGGCCTTCCTGGGGCCGCTTGGGGTCCTCTTGGGGAAGGGGGGAAGCCTCCTGGCGCGGTTTGGGGTCCACTTGAGAGCCTTTGGGGGGCTCCTTGGAACCATCTTGGGGCCTCTTGGGGGCTTATTGGACCCTCACGGCGGACTCTTGGGGCCTCTAGAACGCCTCCTGGGGCCATCTTGGGGGTCTCTTGGAGCCACCTTGGAGCCTCTCTGGAACCTCTTGGGGGCCTCTTGGAGTCCTCTTGAAGCCTCTTGGGACCATCTTGGGCGCCTCTTTGGGCCTCATGGACGCCTCTTGGGGCCATCTTGCGCGCCTGTTGGGGCCATCTTGGGTTTTAAAGATTCATCAAGAGACCGCGAATGGATTTCGAGATTTTTCGGATGAGAAAGTAGTGCGTTTTCATATGTTTTCTGAACATCGCATCTTGAAATTATTGAAAACCCATTGTGTTTGGCAGGATTTCGACATGCGCGCGCGGCGGCCGCGCGCATGTGCACTTCGTCTCATTTTTTGCAAGGGATGGTGGCCCTCGCAGGCGCGCAACCGTTGTTGGAGAAGTTCAAAGCACCTGAAGAAGTAGCACGCAAAGACCCTTTTGACAGAAATGTTTAAAAAGTGGTGTGTTTCCTATGAATCCGCAAGAGCGCGCGGAAGGACATTTTGACAATTGTTTCTTAAAAAACCATTGGGTTTTTGATGTTTTTATGTTAAAATCGCTACGAAACCTAAGGTTTTGGAAGGATTTCGTCTTGCGAGCGCGAATGTCCACTTTACCTTATTTTTTGCAAGGGATTCTTGAAATTTGATCAACTAAGAACAAGAATTTTCATTTTCTATTGTTTTTTGCAAGGGAAAACGAGCGTCAACAAAAAACCGGATCCGGGGGTAATCCACTTTTCTGAAGCTTTCGCAGAAAAATGATGAAAATGTAGCTGCGGCCTAGGTTTTGGGCGGGGGGCGTGCACCAGGGGGTCCAACAATAATAATTCTTTAGAAGTAATAGTGTTACAACAACAACAACAACAACAACAACAACAACAACAACAACAACAACAACAACAACAACAACAACAACAACAAACAACAACAAACAACAACAAACAACAACAACAACAACGGGAATCCGCACCGCGGAATTCCACTTCAGCCACGCACCCAGGGACAGTGAATGACCGTTCGGCCCCCTCATTCTGACATACATGGCGAAAGAGGGCCCCAAGACGGGCTCAGCTCCCCATGACGGGCCAAGAAGGAACCGGAACGGCCGAAACGGGCCCCAGACGGGCAAAAAAAAAACCAGAAGACCCCCAAGGAAGGCCCGGAGAGGTCCCAGAAATTCCCACAATGCTCAAAAGGCTTTTGGGAGGCGTCGCAATAGGCCCCCATGAGCGTATGGGAGGTATCGTGTCTACGTCCTGCAAGATCCATTTGATGGTTTCCCGAGGCTCCACAGAAACATGCTGCGGGGCGCCGGGAAGTAACCAAAACACCCCGGAATCACGGTCGAGGTCACGGGTGCACCGCCATGGGCGGGAGGGCGGCATACGCACGGTGGCTTTCGGAGTCGGTGGAGCTCCCATTGGGACACGATCCGCTTGAGAAACCCAGGCGCCCTGGGGGGACGTGATGTTACGCGAATCCTCCCACACAGGGGCACGTGCAACCGCGTCCTTCTGGCGCACAATCCGTGTGATCGGTGCGTTGAGATGGGCGGAGGAACGCCGTCGTTGCCGTGGGGCTCCTTACTTCCCTTGGAGTTTGCCGGGGGTCCCCTCTCTGTCCTCTCGTCGTCGTCGTCGTGGTAGTCGTGACAGGGAGGAGGAGTAGGAGGAGGAGGGGGAGGAGGAGGAGGATCAGGGGGACGAGGAGGAGGATCAGCAGGGGTGTCAGAAAAGTTACCACCGTGAAAACTTGCTTGGGGCAGCCACGCGTTCATAGCGACGTGGCTTTCTGATCCTTCGACATCGGCTCCTGCTACCATTGAGACGCAGAAACCCCAAAGTGTGTGATTGTTCGCTTGAGAATAAGGAACGTGAGTTGGCCTCACACCGTCGTGAGGCAGATTCGTTTCACCTTCCCAGCGCTCTGATGATGATGATGAGGAGGAGGAGGAGGAGGGGGGTGGAGAGGAGGAGGAGGAGGAGGAGAAGGAGGAGGAGGATCAGGAGGACGAGGAGGAGGATCAGGAGGGGTGTCAGAAAAGTTGGCACAGGGATAGCGGGCTTGTGGCAGCCACGCGTTCGTAGCGACGTTGATTTTCTCATCTTTCGGTACCAGCTCTTGCTATCACTGAGACGCAGAATCCCCAAAGTGGGTGTTTGTTCGCCCGACCATAGGGAACGTGAGCTGGGTTGAGACGACGAGGGGATCAGGAGGACGAGGAGAAGGATCAGCAGGGGTGTCAGAACAGTTGCCACAGGGATACTTGTCTTGTCGCAGCCACGCGTTCGTAGCGACGTTGCTTTTTGATCATTCGATGTCGGTTCCTGCCGCCAATGAGATGCAGAAGCCCAAATGTGTCTGATTGTTCGCCCGAGAATTGGGAACGAGGAGGAGGAGGAGGAGAAGGAGGAGGAGGAGGAGGAGGAGGAGGGGGATGCAGAGGAGAAGGAGGTCCGTGTTGTCGCTTTTCTTGAGCTCTGTTCGGTCCTTTTTGGAGGACCTCCTGGAACTGTTTCAACGTCAGTCTTGGAGCCTTTCCTTATTTGTTGTTGGCTCCCATGATAACCCCAAGACGGCCCAAGAGGCGCCCAAGAGGGCCCCATGAGCGCCTCCAGAGGGCCTCAAGACAGCCCACGAGATCCCCTAAGACCGCCAGCAGGCCCCAAGAGGCCCCAACGGGCCCAAAGAGACCCCACAAGGCCCCTTAACGGCCCCCCGAAGGCCCCTGATATTTTCAAAACTACACCCAAGAGACTCCCCTGTGCCTTCCCAAGGGACCCAAGCAGGCATCCAAGAGAGCTCTGACCCACAACCCAGCCACGCGGGGGGGCCGGGCGCACGACAGCGCCGGACGGTCCAAAAAGCTTCCCAGACCATCCCAAAATGGCGCGATTGGCCTCGCCAGGATCGGTGTTGGATAGCGACCGAAGACGCTCAAGACAGCCTCCAGACAGCCCAGGATGCTTCCAAAACGCCCCAAGAAGCTGCCGAAAACCTGCCCAAGAGGCCCCAAGGGCAGAATTCCGTGCATCTTACATTTGTTGTTGCAGGATCTTCAAGAGTGCGCGCACCCAGCTCCGGTGCAGTCTGAAATGGCCCCAGACGCCCCCGAGCTCGCTCCGAGGCGGCCCAGGAAATTTCCAATACGGCCCCCAAAAAAGACCCTGAGGGTCCCCAGACCTCCCACGAAGCCGCCAACCAGCCCCTCTGACCTGCCCAACACGATCCAGGGAGCCATCAGTCTCGGCAGTCGCCGCGGGACTGGGGTGACCGTCGGATCGAAGATTTTCTTGCCGATTTTGTTTGGCGTGTACCGTTCAACCCACTGGGGCAGCCCAGCGTTGTCAAATTTTGCGCGGCGGTTGCACGACGACGGTGGGCGCACCGTAAAACCCTTCATGACAGCCCATCGTTGTCAAAATTTCCGTGGCGGTTCGAGCGCGGGCACGGTGGTCACGCGCATTTGGGTGTTCATATTCGTTGCGGCGTTCGCATGTGATTGTGGGTCTTGGAAAGACATTTGATCAGCCTTGGATAGGCCGTGGGCGGGCCTTGATTGGGCTTTGGGTAGGCCATGTGTGAGCTCTTGAAAGGCCGCCTGGTAGGCCTGGGGCAGGCATTGGGTAGGCCGTCGTGCTGACCTTGGGCAGGCCTGGGGTAGGCCTTGGGTAAGTTCGTGCGCAGGCATTGGGCAGTCCCTGGGTTGGCATTGGGTTTGCTCCAGGTGGACCTTGGACGCTCTGGGTCGTCGAGGCCTTGGATAGGCGTAGGGTGCGTGAGGGGTGTGCCGAACTCAGGCCCCATGGAGCCGTCTTGAGAGGTAGCTGTTTGTCATGTCTTGTTTCGCCGATCGGCGCGGGCCCCCGCCCCCTCGCCCTCCCGAAAACCAGATCGTGGCTGCTCTTGGCCGCTGCTTCAAGCGGGTGGATTAAGCACTGGGGCCCGCCCCCCACCTCCCCCCCTGGTGGACAAACGAGCTGCTGCTGTGCGCTTGCGCGTTGTTTTCTCGAGGCGCCCTTGCAGTGTGATCATGCAGAATCCTTGTTTGGCCTGCAGCAAGCAATATTTGTCATTGCTGCACGCCGAGTGGAACACGTCCACCCCGTCGACAACGAATCTAATTTGTCGCGTTGCATGCCGAGTGGAATACGTCCACCGCGTCCGCAACAGCTTTTCTGCCACGTGGAATGCGCTCCCATTGGTCCGCCAAAAGGGGGGAAAAGGAGAGGGAGCGAGAGGGCTTGCTGAGAGGAGAATACAGTTTTCAGGTCGATTGAGGCTCATGGCATGCATCCGTGGAGACATAGAGGGAGAGTACCATTTGCTGATTGAGCATGATTGATCGAAGTCTTTCTGCGCTCCGATGCTGTAAACCCTAGACCGTCGCCACATCTTGCTAGAACCAAAGCGCGCGCAGCGAGCGCGTGGTTCTGGTGTGTAAACATGCACACATGCACACATATACATACATACATACATGCATACATACATACATACCTACATACATGCATACATACATACATATCTACATACATAACTACATACATACATACATACATACATACATACATACATACATACATACATACATACATACATACATACATACATACATACATACATACATAAACATACATATACATACATACATACATACATACATACATACATACATACATACATACATACATACATACATAGATGCATGCATGCATGCATGCATGCTACATACATACATACATACATGCATACATACATACATACATGAATACATACATGTATACATACATGCATGCATGCATGCGTGCATATATACATACATACATACATACATACATACATACCTACATACATACATACATACATACATACATGATGCACACATACATACCTGCTACATGCATATATGCTACATACATACATACATGCATTCATGCATGCATACATACATACATACATACCTATACGACCACCCTGCGGGTGATAAGGAAGTTGGGGGGGAAGCAAGTGGCAAAAGTGGTGAGTGTTGTTCTGACAATGCCTTTGGGGCGGAGTCTAGTGAGTGGTGTGATTGTGCACGTGAGCTTGATTTGATGTGGCGATGTTGGCGAAGCGCACTCGACATTGTCGTGAAGCGCTGTCCCCGTGTGCGCTTATCAATCGCGCTAGCCTGGCATTGATGTCGACTTGCATGTCGACGTGCATTGGAAAGCTCGCCGCGGCGCCCACGGCGCCTTACGATTTGCATTTGGATGTCCAGATCGATTTGCATTTCGATGTGTTTTTCGGTCTGCATGTCGGTTTGCATGCAGACTTGCATCGGATAGCTCGCCGCAAGCGGCGATGTTTTGAAATGCACAACCCACGGCGGGACACCAGCGGGACACCGCGCGCCACCACTTGACGGGAGGAGCATCATTTGGTCCGGCCGCGGCCCAGCCACAAGAGGGTTTCGGGACACCGGCGGGACACCGGCGGGACACCGCGCGCCACCCGCCGCCGGAGAAGAATTATTTGTTCCGGCCGCGGCCCAGCCACAGGAGGATTTCGGGACACCAGCGGGACACCGACGGGACACCGCGCGCCACAGGCCGCCGGAGGAGAATCATTTGGTCCGGCCGCGGCCCAGCCACAGGAGAATTTTGGGACACCAGCGGGACACCAGCGGGACACCGCGGGCCACTGGCCGCCGGAGGAGAAACAGTTCGTCCGGCCGCGGCCCAGCCACAGGAGGATTTCTTTTCGCCCGCCCACGCAGCTTCGCCTCGCCCGCATGCACGCACGGCATGCACGACACGAACCCGAAACCGAAATCGATTTCCCTGTAGGGGGAGCCTCCGTTTCACGTCGGACTCACCCCCCAACCTCCTACATACATACATACATACGTACATACATACATGTATATACATACATACATACATACATACATACATACATACATACATACATACATACATACATACATACATACATACATACATATGTATATAAACACATATATTTGTATCTGTGCATATCCCTCTTTCCCCCTCTCTTGCTACTGCGGGGGGTAGCGGGGCTGCGCTGGAAAAGCTTGAAAGGAGGAGGGGTGCGCCAAGTGGCTGGTGGGCTGCACAGACAGCCTCGATCAGGCCAGATAGGTGGATGCGCTTGCTCACATTGGAAAAACAGACGTGGCATGGCAGGTCTGGTTTTGCCGAGCGCGAGCCACATGCTAAAGAACAGCGTTCGCGGTGTTGGCAGTGGGCATTGGGGAGGGGCTACCCCGCATAGGACCTGCTCGATTTGCAGCGGGTCTGCCATGACGCTCAGCTCAATTATCGGGTCCCCAGGAACCGCCACGAGATCCTGGGGAGACTTGTGCGGGTGGAGTTTGCCACCCTTGGTGAGATCTTCGGGTGCCCGAGCTGGATTCAGTGGCGTGGGGAATGGACTACAGTTTCGGGAGGGGGCAGCGAGGGAGGCATGCTATTGAAGCCTTTTTTCGCGCGAGGGCGAACACCAGACCCAGCCACGATCTCCAGCGACCGCGTACACGGAGTTGTACACATCTACACACACTTACACACATACATATACACATGTTTGGGGTCGGCGGCGCAGAGGAGCCTCAGGCGCGGTCGGCATGTGGAGGTGCCAATCGCGAACAAACTTAGTCGAACGCGCCATGATACAAGAATCCAATCACGGCCAAAGAACCCGCGGAGCAGAAGCTCGACGCGGGAAGTTTGAAGCGCAAACAGCAGTCTGGTGAAAATCAAAACGTAAAGTGGCAACGAAGAAGGACTGCAAGGCTGCCAGACCAGCCAACTCGGTGGAGGTGCATACGCGCAGGAAAACTGCGACAAAGCAACGCCACCGACCTTGCAGCGGGCAAGAACCATGTAAGATGACCGTGCAAAACATGCAAGGGGTCGGCGTGACAAAGATGATCAGCGGCCGAGGCCTGCATAGCCTCGGGCAACAAAAACAGAGTTCATCGCGGGCGACCGCGAGCAGCAGCCGCGTGGCGGCGCACATGGGTGGCGACAGGCGCGAGCATGGCCAACGTGCAGTGCAGACGCCAACGTTAAAGCAGCAACCCCAAACGCAACCAGAGCCCCGAAGGGTCACCATGAAGGCAGGTGAAAGCAAAAGCAAAAGATGTGGGACCACCAAGCACAAGAGAGACTGTACGCGTCACCGTAAAGGTCGCGCGACAAAGAAAAAAAGAGGACGAGCAATGCGAACCCGCAATCTGGATACGCCAACGCTCAGATTGAGACAGACCCCCGCGATGGGGACGACCTGGAACACGAGAAGGGAAAAGAAGGGGAGAGCAGCAAAAGCAAAAGCAAGAGAGGAGCTTGGAGAGACGACGGCGGAAGACCCCACGATACGGCCGACCCGCGACAGACCGACGACGGCGAGGCGAGCGACACCCGCGACCCAAAAGAAGAAGGGGACCGACGAACCACCGCGGAGAACGCTGCTGGCCAAGCAAGCTGACATACAGCTGTAAGGCCAGCAGAAACAGCGAGTTGCAGCCCCAGGCGCGGACTCGCATACCCAGGTGCGACGCCAGGAAGCCGAAATTAAACAGGTCGCGGCCATGCCGGCCCACACCCCATGCCAGGGCGCAAGCAGCAAGGCGGTAAGACCGCCGCCTGTCAAGCTGACATACGGAAAAAGGCGCCGACCGCGAGCGGTGTCCGTGGAAACTGCCACGCGCAACCGAGGGGGCGCAAGAAAACCAGTGGCCCGGCCAACACGTGAGTGCATGGCACCACCCGGCCGAGAACCCCGAGGTACCCCGTAGAAACAATCCAACCAGGCGACCAAAAATCTGTCCCGCCAAAGGCGGTTAGGAAGTACAGAAATTAGCCAAAAGAAGGGCAGCATGGCGCGGCAAGAGGCTGAAGCGAGCAGCCCCAGGGCGGAACCTGGGGAGCACGCCAAAAGAAAAGCGGGCCGCGGCCAAACCGGCCCACAACCCGTGTCGGGGCGCAGGCAGCGAGGCGACAAGGCCGACGCCAAGGCCAGAGGACCGACGGAAAAAAACAACACATGAGTGGAGCGCAAGAAGCCACTTGTTCGGACAGAAGCATGGGTGGTGCAGGCACAGCAAGGCCCGCCAACTGCTCCGTGGGACGGGCCACGAGGCCGCTGTGGGGCACGAAGACAGCGCCCACAACATTGGCGGCCCCCGCGCGGAGTGAGGGAAAGGGCAGAGAGCGGCGAACGGCGAAGCCGCAACGTTACCCACACACGCACTGACACTTTTAAGCCAGCGGCGCAGAGGAACTTCAGGCGCGGGCCACAGATGCAGGTGCGAGTTGCGACAGAACTTAGTCGTAACGCACAGTGAAAGATACGGTCATCGCTGCAGTGCAGAAGGGATGGTGGCAAGAAAAAAGGAGGCACCGAGAATAGCAGGGAATGGGTAGTGTAGTGGTGGAATTGTACACCCGGAAGCGTGCAGCGGCCAGAACCCGAGGAGTACGAAGAGCGAGCTCGACCCAAGGTAAATTGAAGCGCGAGCAGTCTGGTGCAAATTAAGGCTAAAAATCATCGACAGACGATGACCAAAAAAGCGTGCAGCCGCCAGAACCCGAGGAGCGTGATAGCTCGACTCAAGGCAACCTGATTCGCCGGTACAAATTACAAGATGCAAAGCAGCCAGACCAGCCGATTGGTGGGGTAACGCTGGGAGCTATGGCTCGGCGATACGATAAGTAGGGTCTTCCCTACGAACCAGCGACACAAGATTTAGCATTGGTGAAGTGCTAGACCTACAGCTGCGGCGGCACCACGACAGCAGACCCGACGCTAAGACAGCATAGATTGGTGGTGACGGAACACAGTGCATGTAAATACATACACATGCGGGATTGAAACAAGCCAAAACCACCATGCCATAAAACCCTTGGTGAATAGCCAAGCCGTGTCCAGGCTGACCGAGAGCAGGCCGCAATAGAGGCGCCGACCGAAATAGATCAGCAGGGCGCCGTCCGAACACGGCAACGACGACGTGCATTGCATGCGC